AATCACGTTAATTGCTGACTTGTGCATAGTAACTGCTTACTGCATGTTTCTATGTTTGATTTTATTCAGGTAGTTCATACATTTAAAGCCATTTCATTGGGTAATAATTAGGTATTAATTACTCAGCTGTATTTATAGTAATATTGCTAAATCATCACGTTACATTCTGAACATGACGAGGCCTTGTTCTTTTATTATGTCCGATTTTTAACATGACCGAGATATACTAAGTATGTCTTTGTATCAATATTATACCTCTTAATCATAGCCTATCCTAATTTGCACATCACCAGTCTTCAAGAAATATACCCTATTATCATCTGAACATTTTAAATCTTATTGAATTTAATTTCTTATGTCAACTATTAATAATTAATAAAGGAACGTCCCAATCCATTATTTTATTCATTTAAAAAAGTAGTCCAATATTGCAGTCCAATGTAGTTTTTTGAAATATAATTCCAGAGCTTCGCTTTTATCTGCACAGAACTAGGATAAATATTTGCATGGATCTTCCTAAATTATCCAGTTTCATCAGGGAGCCACAGTGGCTCAGTGAGTAAGACATTGGCTTGCTAGCCTGGAGGTTCTGTGTTGGTTCTCGGTATTGACCGGGAAAGTTCATCTGGATAATATCCAATGTGGTTCCCCTTGTCAGATAGGACCAAAAATGGATGTGCGATATACCTATACACAAAGGTTCACGTAAAAGTACCCTTGACAGATAGAATTCAAGTAAAGAGTAGGCCACTGTCCAGGCAAAATTTCCCTGATAGCATACTGTATGGTGAATGCCATTTCAGTAGTATGTTAAACAATAAGGAAGATCATTATTAAAGATAACATATTTATTCAGCATTGAAATAATAACAATTCAGATGAAATATTAATTATAATTTAATTTTTTAATAAAATACTTCAACAAGAAACATGTTTTAAAAAAATTAATAAGCTACCGAGACAATTCTTCATGTATCATGCATTTTATATTTGAACCAGATTTCAATGATATTTTCTTTGAAGACTGTTTTCAGATTACAAATGCCACTTATGCTATTTTACTGAGGAGACATAATGCCGCTGAAACTGGACTTATGGCATGACTGTAGCCTAGACAATTACGGACAGAAGAAAATCAACCAAAAAGCCAGTGTGTGTGTGTGTGGGGGGGGGGGTAACTTAACCAACCAAATACCATAACAGCAGTATCAAACGAAAACAAATGAAGAGGTCCATGACAGTGAAAGACATAAAAACCAAGTTGGGATAGGTCCAATGTTTGGAGATCTAGTACTCAGTTCGGCAGAGCGGAGTCAAGGACAAACGGTGTCGGCGCTGATGAACCCCTCACAGTAGCAGCTGTATGAGAAGCTGGCTGTATGTTATCCTGTAGGTATTGCTGGAAATGTGCCTGTCTTGTCAAATTCAGAATTGCAAGATTAAAGTGTTTCTCTCAACCATGGTTGCATTTCCATTGAGTCTGCCTATATATTATGAATGGAATGTACTTAGCATACAGTCGGGGCCTGGGATGGCCTAGTAGTCTAGCTGACCAGTCAGTAGTCACCTCAATTGTTTAATAACCTTAGCCTCTAGAGCATTCACAAAATATTTCAAAGTGATCAAGGGTCATAACTTTGGCAGTAATTAACAGAAATCTCTGAAAATCAATAGGTTTCAATCCCTGTAGTGGGTGTATGTGGCTTGGAAATTCGGGCGTGTTATTAACCCCAGTATCCACCCTGCCACAGTAAAATGAAATGAGAAATGAAATGGGGTTTAACGTCCTACTGTTCTGCTCCTAAACTGGGCTACTGAAGACGGGCATATGCCATACAGTGTGCTATGAGGGAAATTTTGCCAGGGCAGCGGCGCTACGACCTAATCTTATATCGAATTCCAACTGCCAAGGGATTTTTTACGTGCACGCCAATGTGTACACAGGACCTCGGTTTTTCGTCCCATCCGAACGACTAGACAGCTGTCCTTGTCAGGCCCTCCGTGCTGCATCACTGACAATGCCACAGTAAAGTTCCCTGCGCTGGATATACTACACTAAGACAAATTGTCTTCAATATCACCACTGATGGAAGCTGTCAAAGCGTACGAACAACAACTCAGCATCAATCCTGGACTCCATATGGGCTATAGGATAATCTACCATTGTAGGTATAACAAGATCTAAATAAAATAACTATTACAATTATCTCTCTCAACAAAAAAATATTTCATTATATTATTTAATTTTGCATATCTGTTTTAATAAACAATATTTTAATTAATTCTACAATTTTCAATGGAGAGTTGGAAAAACAGCCTATACACAAAACCCCTATCTCTAACAACATTGTAGTAATGTCTCATTTTTCAACCAAAAAAGTTGAAAAAAAAAAGCAGATCTTTATACATAAATAATGGTTTTATACGATATGTTTTATTCAAATAATACTTTAAATTATAATTATTAATGCTGTCTATAAACCCTATAACAACTTATTTGACAATTGTTTCAATGACATTTATTAATTAAACACATGACACAGTAATCAACAGTAATTGTATTCCATAGAACTGTGCCTTGTGTATAGCTTATTTATTAAACGTAAGACACAACAGTAATTGTATTCCATAGAACTGTGCCTTGTGTATAGCTTATTTATTAAACACAAGACACAACAGTTATTGTATTCCATTGAACTGTGCCTTGTGTATAGCTTATTTATTAAACACAAGACACAACAGTAATTGTATTCCATAGAACTGTGCCTTGTGTATAGCTTATTTATTAAACACAAGACACAACAATAATTGTATTCCATTGAACTGTGCCATGTGTTTAGTTTATTAAACACAAGACACAATAAACAGTAATCAACAGCAATTGTATTCCATAGAACTGTGCCTTGTGTATAGTTTATTTTATAGTGCTTAACAACCTTACTATCATTTCAAAACAAGAAAATTCACAGATATATTTTACTATGCTTAATAAACACAATCCTAAACATGAATATCAACTGACTGATTATGTATTGTATAGTCACAAAGCTTATCAACATTAATTTACTGATTACCTGTACCGGTATATGTATTGTGTAGTCAATTTAATGATTAGTGTCAACTTACTAATTGGTTTTAACACACAATATCAGTAGAAAAAATCAAATTGTTTGTGTAGTCCATTTAATGATTAATATCAACTAACTAATTGGTGTTAAACGAAAAACAACCAATTTCAGTAAAAAATTCCAATTATAGGTTGAAGATGCGGATCCCGATCGGGCATTTTTTTTGCTAATATCTAAATTTTCACAGCTCAGTCTACCCTTGAATGTACTCCTATTAATTATTTTATACTAAAGTATCAATGGTTGATAATTCCCTGTGTGGATTTGATTGGATTAAAAAAAGAGGCCCATCAAAAGATTTATAGATGCCACTTTAACAATACTGTAGTTTGCGAGAGATTATAAATACCTGAAACAATATCAGTAGCTTTAAGACTTCAAATATTTGTTGCGACGTGCCATAAAATTTGAATTTCAAAGAACACATTAAAATTGATTTATAAACTTTAGATAATGTCATATTCTGTTATAAAAAATATCTTACCAAGCTCAGCAGATAAGCCCATGAAGCCACAATATTGGCCAGCTAATAAAATCCTGATTATGTCAAATTTTCTCTTTCTAATTTTTAAAAGTTGGTACTGTGAATAAAGTACGCATATGTATGTGTGCAAGATATCTGTACAAATTAAATGTCAATGTGAAATTGTTCCAAGATACAAATGTAATACTGGGATAGGTTATCTCTCATGCCTATTAAAAACTATATTGGCTACTAAAAATAGGCCTACAGTATCTGAGAATCTGAATATTTATTTTATGTTGTCTAAAATGTGTGCACAAATTAATTTCTTTATTGAGTCCGTTTTAAGTTATGCAGCAGTATCAGAAAATTTGTATATCTTATTTTAATATGGTCTAAAATGTGTACAAAAATCAATTTCTTGTGTGATCTCGTTTCAAACAGTGTGTGTGTGTGTATGCACATGCTCACAGTTTAGATGGAACATAGGTAATGACGCATGTATGGAAGCGATTGTGATTTATTTTGTTTTGTTTGAATGAATGCAGTGATAAAATGAAGAATGTTTAGATGAATAAATATCCATGGAATAAATAGCTTATTGTAGTTCTTGTCCTTGGGTAACTTATCACATCACAGTCGATTAAGCTTCGTAACAATCAGAACACGTAAAGTTTGATCAAAAGCTGTGCACACACATAACCCTTCTTTGTCCGAACTCCAATCAAAACTACTGATTGGCTGCGTGGATAGATTGACATTCTGAAGAAGATTGACAGTTCCTGCTACTCCCTGTTCAACACCATCACTGTCTTTGGCTACTCTGTTGGAAGGATAGGAGCTAAAAGAAAAAGATATGTGAATTATCAAACAAGTTGATTTTCCAACCATTGTTAAATGAAAATTACATGAATATGAATAGGGGGTCTGACATAGGTATTTTGCCCATTTCCCGATTCATTTATATTGTATAAAAGATCTCTTACAAAAAAAGAAATGAAATGGTGTTTAATGTCTTTTTGTCTGCACCAGCCAGGATAGAGAGATATGGGGTTTAACGTCCACTCAAACTAAACTAGATCATTTTGGGACTAACATATGGTTTTATTTCAATAATTCGCTTGCACATAGGGGTCTTTAGCTGTGGTAGGAAACTGGAGGACCCGGAGAAAACCCACAAAGTTAGACAAGCTATACCACTCCTTGTCGTGTACAAGCGGGGAATCGAAACCACGCCACTTGACTCAATGACAGACCTTATGATACAGCGCACATGTGCTAAACATTCGGCAACCTAATCCCCCCCCCCCAAACCAGGCTAAGTGATATGCATAATTGATGAAGTTTACTATGAAGGAAATCAGATGGTTGTTCACTTGAACTTCAATAACATAAGAACATTCTACTTACTATTTCCAGAGATTTAATGAACCATTCCCTCCACATGTCATAAACACATCTCTATTCTGAGGTAGATGTCGGCCAAGCCATACTGTTGATTTATGTGCCTGTAAATTAAAACAAACATAAATAAAAAGATGAGATGAGAGAGACCACAATAGAATGTTGGAAGAAAGTTTATCTGGAACAAATATCTAAAGGAGCATCAATAACTTTGCCAATTGAAATAAAAAGATGAGACGAGAGAGACCACAGTAGAATGTTGGAAGAAAGTTAATCTTGGATCTAAAGGGACATAATAACTAGGCCAATTGACACATGTATTTGATTTTTCTTTAATTAACCTATCCCTGATCACGGCCCGATTTCACAAGACATTCTTAGACTTAAACATGCATTATGCAAGAGCTAAATCTGCCTATTGCAGGTCTTTCTTTAGGCCTGAAATGTTTTCTAAAGTATTAATTAGACATTAATTAACTGATCCAGGCCTTAATCAACCCCCGATGGCATCAGATTTCTCCGATATTAAATAGATTAGAATGGTTCAGCGATACTTTGATTTAATCAAATATGGAGGACCGAGACATAGCTTCGATCAACCATTACAGTGGTTGAAATTATTGCACACGTCTGTCAAACCTTCAAAGGCTAATATCTTCGCTTGCAATAGAGTAATTTGAATGAAATTTTCAAATTATTCATTTTACATCATCTACTTTCGAACTATTATAGCAAGAATGGCTAGTTCTTTATCTAAATCTTACATAATGTATCTTTAAGTTAAGAATTTACTCAACTTTCAATCACTGTTTATGACAAATATCTTTGATTTAGAAACCCCAAACTTTGCACATAGTTTCTTGTTGATGTATTTGATAGATTAAAACAACAAAAAGTTTTATAAAGGGCTATATTTTAGTTATAAAATAAGGCAAACAATTTTGAGTAAATTCTCAACTTAAGTCTGAGAATGTTATGTGAAACCAGGACCAGTATGATGTTTGAACACAATGTCAGCAGATAATGTTGTTGTCACCTCGGAACCCATGACCTTACCTTTTCTGACAAACTGGCAAATCCTTTTTCCGGATGTTGTGTCCTCATGTCAAATACATGAAACTTGGCTTCTAATGTAGCTGCTACTAATTTATTCATATTGATATCTTTTCTATCAAATTCAACACAACACACCTAAAATAAAAAATATCATTGTTTTATTTTATTAACTTTAAATTATGAATTTACAAATTATATTCAAATAACTAGACTTTAGCATACAAGGGAGATAACTCCAGTGGGGAAACCACGCCGGAAAATCTTGATGAACTTTCTCGGCCAACACTTGGAGCGAACCTGAGAACTCCAGAATAGCGAGCCAGCGTCTTACCTACTTAGCCATCGAGACTCCCCTTTTTTAGGGAATGCTCAATTGTCATTCCAGAATGTCCTGAATTGAAAGGGGTGGTGGGAGTAGAATCGTGACATAATTAAACACAACAATATGTTTCAGCATTGTAGCCCGAAATCACTGTTTTTCACCGGATTTTCAATATTTTGGGTGTTAAGAGAATTCAATTCCTGAAAGTTCAATCAGGTATCCCTTTAAGATAGCCCCTCTTTGGACAAGCAGAATTTAGTGCACACCAGAAGTGATTTGGAGGATTTGAATATACAAGGCATAATTTATGAACAAACTTGGCATTTACCATATTAACCATAAGATACTGGTTTATCAATTGATAAAAATACAGCATTTATTATAGATCCTAATCAAAGGTCTTGCTTTAAAATATAATCACTTACTCCATTTTTAATATTAGTTTCCCATCTGAGTGCCATTGCTCTTAAGTCAAAGAGTTTGATATCACCATTATCATAACCAGCACATACACATCTATCTTGAGCATTATAAGCATGACCTGAAAAATTTAAATGTTTAGTATAATGTATTGAGGTACACATAAATATATTCAATAAACCTCCAGTAAACAGTGGAAATAACATCAAGGAAATGCAATTAATAAAGAATCAAAAACAAAACATAATTGAGTCTACGGTACAATTCTGGATTCATTCGAATTTTCTTACAGAGTTAATTCCTGTAACTCATGGAAAACAGTATGTGTGGTACTTAAAGAAGCTAAGTTGCTAATATTTGGGACCTAGAAATTGATACAAATGGGTTGCAACGCATATCATAATGTAATATGAATGTATATAAACTGATTTACATTCAATCGTTTTCGTTTTTATGCTAAATTTATGTTCGGCGAAATACGCCAGAAGTCTCTATTGGCAATCTCCAGCGTCTTTTTATTTTGTCTTAAATATTGGATAGAAGACCATCTTTTCCCAGTAAGATCACAACATCAATGTTGTTTTAAATTGACAAATAATTTTTGTGTTCAATTTCAAAGACTTTGGATGCTATTGAGTTAGCGACTTAGCTACTTTAAAAGACTATTTATTATTTATAATTTTTGAAATTAAAACAGAGCATATGGCTTTTTTTAAGTGATACTTTTTTTTAGGTATCTAAGAACCAAGGTATTTTTTTTCATATGTTCTTGAAGCAGCTGACTGTCCCTGGATGGATTTGGAATCCCTTGCAGAATCATTATTTATCTACCGGTACTATTGACATTTTGGCTTTGTCATCTTAATTAAATGCTTAGAATCAAATATGATCTCTTTTGAAAATTGCAGGGGTTTAAGTGAAATTTATGTAAAACTCACCAAATGCTACAGACCAACAATCTCGTTTTGTTTCACCTTCACCAGGTTCCATGGTTGCCACAGGATCTGATTTCTGTCTTGGATCCCAAACTTTAACAGCACCTACAATTTACAATAAAATTTCCTTACGCATACACCTTATATTTTGTCATAGGAACACTATGATAAGCAGGTACATGCAGATATTATCACAAGAAAAAGGAATACAAATGACATAAAAATATTAGAAAATACTGTCGTCAAGTATTTTCTCTGCTAAATTCCAGCATGTTGTCAAGTACTGTCGACAAGTATTTTCTCTGCTAAATTCCAGCATGTCGTCAAGTACAGTCGTCAAGTATTTTCTCTGCTAAATTCCAGCATGTCGTCAAGTACTGTCGACAAGTATTTTCTCTGCTAAATTCCAGCATGTCGTCAAGTACTGTCGTCAAGTATTTTCTCTGCTAAATTCCAGCATGTCGTCAAGTACTGTCGTCAAGTATTTTCTCTGCTAAATTCCAGCATGTCGTCAAGTACTGTCGTCAAGTATTTTCTCTGCTAAATTCCAGCATGTCGTCAAGTACTGTCGACAAGTATTTTCTCTGCTAAATCCAGCATGTCGTCAAGTACTGTCGACAAGTATTTTCTCTGCTAAATTCCAGCATGTCGTCAAGTACTGTCGACAAGTATTTTCTCTGCTAAATTCCAGCATGTCGTCAAGTACTGTCGACAAGTATTTTCTCTGCTAAATTCCAGCATGTCGTCAAGTATTTTCTCTGCTAAATTCCAGCATGTCGTCAAGTACTGTCGACAAGTATTTTCTCTGCGAAATTCCAGCATGTCGTCAAGTACTGTCGACAAATATTTTCTATGATAAATTCCAGCATGTTCTCAGGTATTTTCTCTGCTAAATTCCAGCATGTCGTCAAGTACTGTCGACAAGTATTTTCTCTGCTAAATTCCAGCATGTCGTCAAGTACTGTCGACAAGTATTTTCACTGCTAAATTCCAGCATGTCGTCAAGTACTGTCGACAAATATTTTCTATGATAAATTCCAGCACGTTCTCAGGTATTTTCTCTGCTAAATTCCAGCATGTTACAAATATGTATGGAATTGTCAGCCAATTCAAGCAAGCGCAAAACTCTGCGGGCGAACTCCCTCATCTATATAATGTTAACTTACCATCTCTACTACCAGTAACAAGTTCTGGTGCACCTTCACCAATACCTAATCCACCAACACCATCTATAGCATTTATAATCTCACTATGTCCTGTTACAGAATAAACTGGTAATTCTGTTGACTCCAAGTTCCTGAAATACAATTAGGAAATTGAATGGAATGAAAATACCCATAAAGCCAACATGGCTCCCAATACAATTAGCGATACAAATAAAACAAATTGTGAATGATGACAGAGGTGATATTTGTCATTATGCATTCAAGATAATCTGTGTGTAGGTCAAATTAAATTATTATTATTTATTTTTTTTTTTTCCAACTTAAAGATACATTGTCCCGAAAGTACAGACACCCTATCTTACTAGAAAAATACTAGATTACCCAAGAAACACCCATGGCATGGGGCAAGCACTGGGCAAAAATGTCAGGGTATCACTAACTGGCAACCCGACGGCTTATTGTATACTAGCTTGACTGAAGAAGTGGTTGTTTTTATTTTTTGATCAAACGGTCAGGTGGTTTTGCGAACATTGAGGGGTGTAAATATAAAACAGACTCTGCAAGTAAACAGCAGAAAAAGAAGTTGACAGAAAATAATTCAAGAATTTACTTAGACCTTAATATGTTTGGTACAGGGACAGTAAGTAATGACACACATTCTAAAATGGCCCCTCCCTCAATCAAGTTAGGTGACAAACATGGTATCTCGCCACAAATACAGTTTTGAGAGGGATAGGGAGAGCAAGTCATTTCGGGAGTAACATATGGTTCAATTTATTTCAATAATTCGCTTGCGCGTAGGGGTCTTTTAGCAGTGGGAGGAAATCGAAGGGCCTGGAGAAAACCCACGAGGTTGGATGGGCAACCTTACTCCTTGTCACGTACAACTAGGGAATAGAAACCATGCCAGTTGACTCAATGACAGACTTTATGATACAATGCGCAAGCGCGAACCATTCGGCCATCCAATCCCCCGTTTTGAGAGGGACTTGAAGCAAATGTTTGGTAGATTAATTAGTTTGAATATGCTTTTAGTCCAAATACATCATCAAATAAACAGGAAAGTATCTTTAAAAATTTGGAGCAAAAGCTTTTGAGTAGAGCAACCAAGTAATTTATGTTTATTTTTAAATTAGCATTTTCCCCCAAAGATACATGAAATGAAATGGGGTTTAACGTCCTATGGTTCTGCTCCGACTGGGCTAATGAAGATGGACCAAAGATATATGATCAATAAGAAATGATTTTCTTCCTGAAGAACAAAAACTCAAATTGGCATATTAGCAATATATAGACAGCTTTGTACAAAAACTGATATATGTGTTTGACTCACATTATGTCTCATCAACATAATTTTGTAACTGAGTGTGACCCCTGTCATGTCTTTACAATGTTACAGAGAGAGAGAGAAATGGGGTTTAACATCCATTCGACACAAATTAGGTCATTTTGGGACTAACATATTGTTTAATTTTACTTCAATCATTTGCTTCCGTGTAGGGGTCTTTACCAGTGGGAGGAAACCAGAGAACCGGAAAAAACCCACGAGGTTGCACAGACGACCCTACTCTTTGCAGGGAGTAGTCGGTTTAGCAAATAAATAACATAATTACCAAATCTGAACTTTTCCATCAAAACCACCTGTAGCTAAATATCTTTGTTGTAGACTAGATGCTCCAAATGTTCCACATTTAAATGCTTTTGACTTCTCAATCTATTTTTAAAAAACAAAAAAGTTAAAACATCAAATTCTGATGCCCAGCAGCAGGTTTGTAAACAGAGGCACAAAAGAGGTCATAGAAATCTATTTAGTCAAAGAAGCAATGTATGTACCAATATACATGCGTTGTGTACAATAATGTTTTTGTGACAACAACAGCAATAAATCACAGCAATAAGTCTCTAACTCAATATCATCAAAAATCTTCGACATTGAAAACACAAACTATTTGTCAATTCAAATCAACATTGGTCTTGTGATCTTACAGGGAAATGATGGGCTTCTGATATCCAATATTCAAGACAAAATAAACATTTTACCATTGGTACACGAATCGTGTACCATAATGCGTTTCAGCGCCATTTGGAACAGGGGACTCAAAGAACAGGGCTAGACATATTCCACAAGTCATGTCAAATGGTGAGGCTATATTTTTATCTGGAGAGCATGCGCAATAAATACCATCGGTGTAGACTGGAAAAACCAGACGCTAAAGATTGACATTCACATGAGACTTCTGGTGTATTTCGCCGAACATAACTGATTAGAAATTACAGTAAAAACAGAAATGATTGAATGTAAATCAGTTTATATACATTCATATTACATTATTATATGCATTGCGAAACATTTTTGTCAATTTCTAGGTCCCAAATATTAGCGATTTAGCTCCTTTAACTATAATTTTCTAGAAGTTTTTTTTTTCTGACCAGCCAAACAATGCCGAAAAGTTTCCCTTAAGAAGTAGCCATAGCAAGAGAGAGAAATTGGGTTTAACGTCCACTTGACACAAACTAGGTAGTTTCGGGACTAACAAATGGAACTTCAATTTTATTTAGCAGTGGGAGGAAACCGGAAGTAGCAATAGCTCTGTACAAAATTACTTTGATTGGGTTCTTCCTTGTGATTAACTGAAAAAGTTTCAAAACCAAATACCAAACAGTAGGGCCTACACTCAAGTGTGAGTATGTACCGCCTACCGGTATCCCTTTTTCTGTTTATTTAGTGGAAGGGTTCACAAATGGGTCTTCCAGTATTAGCCTCCTATCATGTCTGTTAAATTTGTCTAGTTTCTATCTAATCTACGGTGTATGTCTACAAGAACATGAAAAGAATCAAATTTGCCAATCGGGTAAACACTTGTATAATATTAATAATAAAATAATGACTTTCTTTAAGAAGGGTTGAAGATTGGGCTATTGGTCTACGATATCACCCATGGTGGAAGTGGAGGAAAACTCTTGAACGAACGGGCTATATAAATATGAGCTTTTTACTAGTTTCAGACTCTACAATTACACATACAATTACAAGTACTCAAGTAGTGAGTACTGTACTGTACATAGTTATTATTGCAATATTTGGAAGAAATTTATAAATTGAAAAGAAAACAGAATAACCATTGCAATAATATTTTGAAGAAATAAATTGAAAAGAAACCAGAATAAGAATAAAGGTTATACTAACATCATGTACTAATTTTACGTCACCATGTGCTACTTCGTAAACTTGCATAGCTCCCGTACCTCTTGCATGGCTTCCCAACACAACAAATTTTGCACTGGACGGGATCCATTTTCCATCAAACAGGGTATAATTTACCGATTTTTGGATGTGTGCAATAATTTGTGGCTTATCCATCGTTGTCAGCGTTAGGATCTAGGGCAAATGAATTGTCTATTTCGTTTATAATGCCTAATAAACCATGTAAACAAATTTCACATGTTGAAACAAGAATTTTTCCAGTAAATTCTGGGATTTGTTTTCGTGTTTCTAATGAAGAGCGTCACAACAAAAGGCGTTAACTCAGCTAGCAAACCAGGGTAGTCTCGATTATCACGTCAATCATGATAAGGATTCAGACCGGTAGTTTACTTTCCATTTACTTGAAATCCATGTCATTTCGTATGGGCTGTGAGGTCGTTTTCGCACCCGATTTTACTAATTCATATCTGTTATAGGAGCTACCCCCTGAACCATCCGCCCTAAAATCATGAATATTCATCAAAACATTGGAGAAAATGTAAATCCAAGCACCTTGTGAACTATTTTCACAAAAACCCACCAATAACGGGAAAGACACGAAATACGCAATATGTGATATAAGATTTTCACAACCATCAAACAAAATTATAAATTGTACATCAGCATGAAAGTACCTAGCTTCTTTGGGCCAATATTTTGACAAAGTTATTTTTCAAAATAAAATAAGTATATCAAATTGTGTGGTCAAAATGTCCATTCCGTTACTTTGTAAAACTGCTCATTCTCAACTTTGAACTTGAAAATCTCAGTTAAAAATACATTAGCCATAAAACAGTGCTGAATTATAAATCGTCATATTAGCAATTTAAAGAAGAAATAACAATCAACTTTAATTATTGTTTCTGTCGAAATTTTGAGAACAGTTTGTCTTTCCGATAAAGATACATTTTGTAAGATTTAGATAAAGAACTGACCGTTCTTGCCATAATAGTTCAAAATAGATAATGTAAAATGAATATGAAAGATTTCAAAATTTTAAGATAGATAATGAAAAATGAATATATTGAAAATGTCAATCAAATTTCTTTATTCTGAGCAAAGTTATCAAAGTTTGTAGTTTTGAAAAGATGGGTGCATTGATTGTTTATTATCGTAACCACGGTACTGGTATCCTCGCATCTCCTTTTAAAAATTAAATCGTTAAATGACCGAGCTGTTCTAATCTACATAATATCGTAGCCATCCGATAGCATCGATGGCTGATTATGGTCTTGTCATGTTAATAAATGTTTAAATTAATCATACAGTATAATAATATATAATACTTGGGGCCTAGAGAAAGACCTGCAATAGGCAGCTTTAGCCCTGGAATAATGCCTCTTTAATGATTTGTTAGGGAGTTTATCATAGCCACATTATAAAGTTCTTCATCATGTGTCGCTATTAAATCAAAGATAGGGTTATAGTCAAGCAGAAAACACCGCATCATACGAAGAAAAAGTTTATAGAAAGGAAAATCCAAAAGATTATGTTAAACGCACACAGTTCACGCACAAACGATATGTCTCTTCGATTGACCTGTTTCAAGTCATAAAACACTGACTGATGGATACGTTTCCATTCAGAGAACCAGGAAATAAGGTTGTCAAATCACTATGTGAATATCATGCCTGTCTATGTAATGTGAATAGAAATGCTTCCACTACTGATGTCTTCCGTCTTGCTTCAGACAGGACGCGGCCGCAATATTTCAGCTATGTGAAGAGTTCAGACAACCAAAGTATGTCTTTGCCTTTATAAAACCAGCGGCTGCCAGGCAGGATACGCTCACATTTTCGAGAGATGGATAGAGAACAAGCTAAAAAGAAAGTGATTTTTCCTACAATCAAGGGCCATAATTCAGGAAATTACAATTCGATATGCGCATTACATTTCAAGTTTCAACAAAATCGGATAAAAATTGTGACCTCTATAGGGTCCACAACCTTGATATACCATATTTTTACGCTATTTGAGAACGAGGGGCGGCCATTTTGTCTGTCTGTTTTGGGCCGATTTTCACGAAATTCGAACTCAGCCGTCCTTATGGTTTAACGGTGATATAATAATACGTTTTTTTTTTAAATCGGATAAAAATTATGACCTCTATAGGGTCCACAGGCTAAAAACGCGATTTTTCGTACAATCAGGGGCCATCATTCAGGAAGTTACTTTCCGATATGCGCGAATATCGAAAGGAACCGAGATCTTTGGGTTATAAACTTACATTTTAAGTTTCATCAAAATAGGATTAAAATTGTGACCTCTATAGGGTCCACAACCTTGATATACCATATTTTTATGCTATTTGAGAACGAACGGCAGCCATTTTGTCTGTCAGTTTTGGGCCGATTTTTACGAAATTTGAACTCAGCCGTCCTTATGGTTTAACGGTGATATAATAATACGTTTTTTTAAATCGGATAAATATTATGACCTCTATAGGGGCCATAATCCATGAAGTTACAGTCCGATACATGCCAATATCGAAAGGAAGCGAGATCTTAGGGTGATAAACCTATATTTCAAGTTTCATTGAAATCGGATAAAAATTGTGACCTGTAGACTGTTCACAAACAATTGTGGACGGACGGACGTCCGGACGGACGGACGGACAGGGGCGACGACAATATACGTCGACATGAAAATGTGGGCGTATAAAAAATAATGGTAACGGAAAATAAAGCTTGTATCGGTATAGACAAAACAAATATTTTGTTAAAATTACATTGAGTAATAACGTTTGTTATGGTTTCTAATTCAAACATTTATTTTAAAAAAACTGGACTTAAATTAATGACTTTGAATTTTTGTCTTTTCCGTTATGTCTTTACTGTTTACATGGTTTTTCACATGATAACTGAAATAATATTCAGAAAATGTTTTGTTTTGTTACATTTTTTTTATTTTTAAGAGTCCAGCTGGGCTATTGCACAATATGCTTCTTCATGAAAATTTAATCAAAGAAAGTATGATTCCTTTTTAAAATTTGTCTTAACCGTTATTGGTTCGGGTTTTTTTTTGGCCCACATACCAAAAGCAAATCAACAACAATTGCCATTCCAAAGGGGTGGAAAAGCGAGAAAAGATAATTACTATAACCGCAAAGGAAACCTTGGCAGTTCAAATTCGTTGACGTTCAAATGCCGCTGTCCGGGCAATTTTATCTTCCCTAGCATTGCACACTAATTGTCTCTGTTAAGAGGCAAAGTATAGTCGTTCCGATGTGACGACAAACCGAGGTCCCGTGTACACATTAGTGCGCACGTAAGAAAACCATTGGCTGTTGGAATTCGATATCAGAGTAGGCCATAGCGCCGCCCCCTGGCAAAATTTTCTTCATCGCACACCATATGATATCCGTCTTCATTAGCCCAGTCGAAACAGAACATCAGTAGGACGCTAAACCCCCTTCCATTTCATTTCACCTACTTGGTCTTCGGCAGTTAAAGATAGGAGATTAGATAAAGAGCTGACAGTTATCACTATAATAGTTATAAACAGATAATGTTAAGGCAATTTGCTGAAAATTTCAGTCAAATTGATCTACTATGAACCAAGAATTAAGCGATTGAAATTTCGGCCTAGCCTCGATCAAAAACATACTTTCGATTATCCATTTCCAGATTAAATCATGAATGAAAGTTGAGCAGCAAATCAGATCATAATCCAATAAATATTACAGGCTAACGTTGACATCGAGAGTTGATTATGGTCTGGATAAGTTAATTAATGTCTAATTAATAATTTAGATAACATTTCGGGCCTAAAGAAAGACCTGCAATAGGCTGATCTAGCTCTTGCATAATGTATGTTTAAACAATCTCAGTGCTGTAAGAGTGTAAAATATATTGCCGAAATACATTTTAAAATACAGCTGGCTAAAATGTAAGGGCTGCACATGGATATTTTCCAGAAGTGATTTGAGACTCGATACACTCAGCACACCATTCAGTTAACACCTGGTACAATTTATTGTAATAAAAACTTAGAAAAGTATAAGGACATAGTTCAACTCGACTTAAGATTATATGCCTATTTATGAAACAAGTCTGTAGTCCAAGATCGAAAGCTGTAAAGGGCCGAGCATAATTTTGAGTTTACCATCTTTTGGACATTCGGAATATGGGTGTGCATACAATATAAAACGCGGCCATGTTTTCTCATGAATAAATAATAACACCTGTTCTAGTTGGCCACGTTATTTATATGACATGTATAAAACATTTAAATTCATTAGAATATTAGACCAGCTAAACAAAGCATAGTGTCGATGGAGGCTCCTAGGCTTATATATATGTGCGTCTGATTTCCTCAAACAATTTTGTTGTACAATTCTATCTACTCCACTAAGACCCGATACAATCTGGTTAAAACACAGATCCTATTTCGTTTCGTTTTTATAGTTCAAAATTTCGTTTTACATGTCTTTACTACACTTGTAGTGTAGGCGTTCGAAAGTATAAAAAAACGAAACGAAATATAGATCTGTATTTTAATCAGATTGGACCCGATAGAACATCCTTTCGAGTAAGTTGAATATTTTCACAAAGAGTAAACATTAACCAACATCTGGGCTTGCGCCCCTCGAGGACAGAATACAATATATAAAATTATAAAACAAAAGTACCGGCACAAACTGAGAGCACGTTCATAACCAGACAATACAAAGCACACATACAAGATTACATGTACGAGTATAAAAATACAGCCCCCCCCCCCCCGCCAAAACAAAAACATATGCGCCTATAAAATTAAGTAGCTAATGAAATGTCAATTGTCTTTCCGTAAAAAAGAAAAGTAAAAAGAAGGGATGCGTCACCTGGCGCTTTAATACACCTTTGGTTTGGTTGAAGTTGTGGTCGTTTATGCAGTTGTTCTTGTATGGAAGCCTATTGCGGCTGTTTTACAGATAGTTATATCAATTATTTAAAAAAAAAAACCCAAACAATTCAAGATAAAAATTCTTGAAAATTGGTCCACTTTGGTCCCAAAAACTTTTACAGACATCCAACAAGTCACATAATTCTAAAGATATTAATTTTGTAAACGCGGTTTTTATAATTCTTAAAATCATTTGTGTCATTTTAGGGCAAAAAATTTCAATTTATCAAAATAGCAAAAAGAACATGATTATTGACATAACGTAATTTGACCATTTTTGTTTAAATGTCACCAAAATTTAATATTTTTTGGACATAAATTTCTTAAAGTTGTTCATTTTACAGTTGACTCTTTCATATTTCTACTAAAAACGGAACCGCGTTGACTCGGCAAGTAAGACGTTGGGTAGCTATCCTGGCGGTTCCGTGTTCGATTCCGGTGTTGGCCGAAAAGTTCATTGGGGTTTTCCGGAGTGCCCCCCCCCCCCTTGTCGGTAATACAGAGCAGAGGGCATGGCAAGGGACAACGTATGAATAGTCGTTTGGACGGGAGGAAAACCCAAAATGAAATGGCCGCAACGGGCCTTCATTTAACCATAATAGCACCACGTACCTTTGCGCGTGTTAGTTCAGACTTTTCCTGTTAAATCCTGAGAGTATTATCTCTTTTCAATTATCTTACAAAGTCAAGCTTTGTGTCTTTTCTCTCTCACCTGTATTCATCAATGAACAATTGAAAAGTGCAAAACACGGAGTGAGAAACATATTAAAATCTGGTTCAATTTTCATAACACTACGGAACATCAACAAGGCCTAATCTATTTTAAATTACGCTATACTAGGAAGGAAAAGTGTTTGATGTCTCGTATCAAACTGATCTGTAGTGAATATTCGCTAGTCCTCTATATTCTATATTCATCATTTGACAACAATAAAACTTACTGACAAGCAACTGCTGTCCAGTAAAACATGTTTATCCAAAGTCACATTCACCGATGCAAACTTGAAAACCACTTTGGAATAGGTTGATCTATATATAACATCTTAAATATTTTACTCAAAACGAAATAAAATTTATATATAATGTTGCAGTGTTTTCGACGGTATGTCAGCCCGATCCATAGAACCAAATATAAATGTTTTTGGGACAATGTTTATAGTTACAATAATAAAGTAAATAACCTAATATTGAAAATAAATGAAAAATACTTAAATTTATTTTCGTGTGGATTCCTGTTTGGAATTTGAATTTGCCAGGTTTCAACAAGGTCGTTTCCTGTTTGATGGGTTGAAGGCGATGGATTGTTGGCAATCTCGTAAAATGACAGTAATAAAGATTTTGTCGGAACTACATGGACTGGATGTACAAGTTTAATGTGTTAGCAGTGTAGATAACTGACAATTGTGAATTTTACCCTCCGATGAAAGAAGTAAACTAGCCCTCTGCAAACCTCAGCAGATTCCGGTACCCTTCATCTAGCCTCGACTGTATGACGAAGTCTGCCATTGGAACTACTTTCACATTCCCGGATTACCAACGGCGTTTCCCATGACGACGACTTTGAAGAATGTTTTAGCATACAAATATTTCAAAGTCTGAAGCTGTTTTTCTTTCAAGTTTATCCGATTTTCCTCAAACTGAAATTCTACACATCCTTTAAAAGGACGCAATTTTGATAACTTCTTTTTAAAAGCGGCCAGTTTTCCTAACAAGTAAACCGGTGCCGCATCGTAATTGTATAGGTGTAGGTACATATCCCTTACCGCCATACAGCTAGGCTAGATAGTAGAGTAACGGAATCTGCCGAGGTTTGCCGAGTGATAAAGTACTAAAAGTAGTTATCAATTTTTGCGTCGAGCTTTTGAGTGTTTGGATGTTAGATGTTACGTCGCCAGAACATCTAACATGATGGATTAATTGCATGGCGTATGTCTATCTTCATTAGTCCAGTCAGTGCAGAGAAGCAGTACGTTAAACCCCATTTCATTTCATTTGACATTTAAACAGATTAGACCAGCATTATTATATTTACATTTGATTCAGAGCTGTACAAAGGACCGCCAAAATATCGTCGGCAGTACACACATCTTACTTACTTCCTAACTACTTTACTGAGGTGGGACTTTTTTTTCGAGTAAGTTAACAATTTTCACAAAGAATAAAGATTAACCAAAATCTGAGCTTGATCAATACCACTAGAACGAGCCCCATCAGCTGTAGAGAAACGTGTTTTATGACAAGCTTCACCAGCAAACAAAACAACTGGTTTGTTATCATCACTAAACAGGGGCTGACCTAAATCATTTCTTTTACTTTCACTTGATTCTTGTTTCATATAACTGTACGATCCACAACTCCATTTGTTACTATTCCATTTAGTTACTAAAACATCTCGAGGTTCTGGAATGGAATCATCATTCAGAAACATTCGTATCTGTTGAATACAAACTCGACTGACCTCTTCTTTATGTAAGTTTTCTATATATTTACCTTCTTCTCCTACGACACTACCAACTAAAACATGCGCATTGTTGTGGGGTTCATCGAAGGCGTGGATAGCTTTATACCATTCATCTTCACTTTTGATGTCTCTGTTTTTATCTGTCCACGCAAACCTGATGGTGCCTTGTCCTTTAGTCCAAAAGGGTTCATCATAATAAAGGAATATTTTATTGACGGTACCGTAACCTATTTGATATAAAGCTTGAGATTTATTTAAAGGAAGAGCGGGTTCAAATAAACTTTCATGATGCTTTTGAAGATAACCCAGTGAAAGCGTCACAATTACATGATCGGCGGAAAATTCAGCTCCAGAAGGGCAGACGATTCTAATTTCCGGTGTTGACCATTCGATGGAGGAAACTGGAGAATCGAGATGGACGGAATCTTTCGGTAAATAAGAAGCTAAAAGATCAGTGATTGTTTGAAAGCCGCCATTTGTGATGCAGACATCCTCGTCTTCGCCAACAGAAATGTATTGTCCAAAGTTATAGCTAGACAGAACCCGTAGATCATCTGCGTTGTCAAACCTGAGGACATTCAGAAAATAATTAAAACAAGCTTTTGCATGTTCCCTATCCTCTTTCCGAAATTTTGTGGACGCAAGTTTCTCAAATCGTCGGTCAAAATATCCGTATAAATATAAATCTTCTTCAGCTAACTTCTTTTTGGTTTTGAATTCTTCCTCAAGAGTTTCTTCAACTTCAAAAGCGAGATCCATAACCTTCTCTGAGATATCTTCGCTTATAACCTGGCCATGCTCAGTATTAAACTTTCCATCATACCTGTAAATAAAGTAGCAATGAATTGGTTCATATTTTCATCTATTGTAATTCGAGATAACGAACAGGGATGATTCAATAGTTGGACAAAATAGGTCGCTGGAACGTCGCCCAAATAAATTTGTAGGTCTTTTCCAAAAGTAAGCTTTCACGAATAAGACCTCTGAATCTCATCTTTCCGTTATTGTTATCACTTACCCTAGAATTCAAATGATAATTATTGCGTTCACAAATTAATGAGCCTCAACATAAATGGGGAGATTACACCGTCACCGGGCGAACAATTCCTGAAAATAAAACGTGAAAGGTTCTTCCAAAACAGACGTCCGTGGCCTCCGTGGCCCGTAATTTATAACGAATGCCTCTTACCAGTCTAATCTTATTAATGGATTTAAAAGATCATGTTCCATAGCAAAAGTATAAACTGAATTTTCTTTCCCTTCACCGTGGACCCACTGAGCGCCAAGTTCTATAGTTTCGGATTCGGTTTTTCCAAATGGAATAGTATGAATTCTTCCACCAATTCTGAAATACAAAAATATCATGTGGGTTTCGAGTGCACAATAGTCTCCTTCGCGTGAACCATTCTATTTTATTCCATACTAGCGGTTGACCCGGCGCAGGACGGATATATCCATAAACCGGAAGTAGCATACACCAAACTTTAGCCTTAATGTAGCCGCCAACACTCCACATACAGACAAGCAAACAAACGACAGTCACAAATATTATAGATTACCTTCCACCTGCAGGCTCGTCACGGGAGTTTCCCCGAAACGAGAGTGAATTTGATAATGACGAGGCCCAGGTTTGCTGTACAATTTTTTTGTAATGAGAAACATATGTGTAGACATATCATTGATAAATACAGCCCCAAATCAAAGTTCTGTATTAATAATATACAGTTTGGTTGCTGGGAGTTTTAAAAAAATGAAGCAACAAGATCAATGAATTCTTTGTTGTATTAAAACCAAGGTTACATATGCAAACATGGAATCAAGTAGATACGTAATTGAATGTTTTGTCACTCGGGTCAGAGCTAAAGCAGGTACTGAGTCAAACCGCAACACGGGGTTAGGGTCGGGCGGCGGGAGAAATTGTGGAGTGAGTGCTGTCGCCTGGGTCGGAAGAACAACAGAGGTCCCGTGTAAAGGATTGTGTGCACGTAAAAGAACACTTGCCAGTTGAAATTCGATAAAAAATTAGGCGGCAACGTCACTGCACAGGTAGGATATCCTTTCATAGTCCACTGCATGGCGTATACCCGTTTCATTACACTTGATTAACACGTTAGCGTGCACGTATCACAACCCTTGAAAAGGACACCGAATTTCACTCACAGCACACGGCATGATACCCGTTTCATTACACTTGATTCACCACTCACCTTGACGTTGCCTCTAAGATTGTTACGTTATTAAATCCAGCATCATGTAGATGTTTAGCTGCTGATAGACCAGCTATACCTGCTCCTACTATCACGATCTTTACATCGGCTTTACTCTTTATTCCTTTCTCTTCCATGACGTTGTTACTTTAATAGCTTTAATTCGTCTGTAGTTGATTTAATTCGTCTGTAGTTGCGTTACTTCGTTTGTAGCGTTAATTCGACTGTAGTTGCTTTTATGCTTTAAATCGCCTGTAGTTGCTTTAATTCGTCTGTAATTGCCTAATCCGTCTGTGGTTGCTTAATCCGTCTGTGGTTGATATAATTCGTCTGTAATATATGTAGTTATAGTAAGCAAAGATCGATAGTTAGTGTAGACTTCATTATGTGCAAAAATCGCCCAGTTGGGGGTTGGGGTAAGTTATCATATAGCAAAGTGCAAGGATATGTATAGGTAACCTACATTAAAATCACCTAAACCCACGAATTTGAATGTAGTCATTAATTTGCTTAAATTTACTATACGCCGCCATTTTGAAACATGTGATTTTCTTTGATTTTATTGCCCGGTCGTGGCGTTATGTGATTATTTCTTATATATTGTTTTTTGCTAGATGCTGTCACTAATCCCAATTTGCGAGCAGTACATGATAAACAAGAAACGTTAGATACACAAATCTGTTTCTGTTTAGTTGAACCAGCGTGGACCCGGCTTAATATGTGTCAATCCCAAGACATTGAAGATTAAAAACATTTCAGTGTGGATTGTATTACATATATATTATCGTATAATAGCTATACCGGTTTTGTTATTAGACTGTGTAATTGCAATCGAATGAAAAATTTAATATTTTCAAATATATATTTCTGTTGTCACCACCTGTCATGCCTACACGTAAATCAAATGAAAAATTTTTAAATTAAAATTATTTCAAACGAATATTGTTTCATCATAAATTCGATTATCTTAGAGAAAACAACGTACAACATTTTTGTCACTGCCTGTCATTCGTACAATTATACATCCACGTTTCCCCTCGCTATCGACCGACTAACTTTAAAATGGTTTTACTGTAAGATGGCTACAATTATATCCCGTAAAATGGCGATGTGTCTGTTATACAATATACTAGAGCGGTACAACAAACATGATCTAGCTAAATGTCATCCTTTAATCAGCTGTCTTTGACTTTAACAAGATCAATATGTGAATATGTGTAATTTATGTGAATTAATTACGTGATATTTCAGACTATATTTACCTGGTAAATCCTGATAGTTATGTATTTTATCGTACAAAGTACAGCTTTATATAGACCCTTAAATTTCAGTCTGTGACCCCATTTGATAAGAATAGGTTACCTTTAATAATATAAGCTATTTACACAGTACACACAAAGTAAGAAATATATAGCGACAGTTTAGTGGGGAGTACTACAGGGACAAACACAGACAGCGACAACTGTTGATAACTTTAATTGACGTGCCACCATTACAATAACCTAATAGATAACCCGGATGTCTCGTATCACGAGAACTAACAATGAACGAAGGGACCTGTAACCTACAGGGACTTGTAACATATATAATTAACTATAATGGCGCGACCCTTTTTTTCCTTTTCTTGTAGAACAATTTATGGAATTAAAAATAACTTTTAGACATGAAAACACTTAAAAGTCTTAATAAAGAACATAGTCTATTAGTTTTTTAGGCAACTGGCGTGTACGATTTCGTGGTAATCCTGGTATGTTAGAAGAAACACTTGTTGCTGTATTTGACAGGGTCTGGATGTTCAGGGTATCATCGATAAGATCAGATTCTGACGAACTGCTTGATGCTTCTGCCTCGCCACGGTCGGGTAGTTGAGCTGATGCAGTCGGGTCGAGTGGTGTGGTCAATACAGAAGGAATGATGACCGTATCATCTTCGCTATCATCTGAAGCAACGGAGCAAGCTGTGGGGGAAATATTTACCTTGTAAACCTCTGTAGGATGGACGGAGTATGTCTTCGAGCGGATTTGAGAGTTCCTCAGCTTATGAAGTTGTAGAAAGCCGTTCTGAACACCCGAGACAATATATTTGTCACGTGCCCTGTTTTTATCACGATCACAAAATAAATAAACTAAATCCCCAATACGGACGTTCTGTGGAGGACCAGACTTGCCAAGAGGGTTTTTTGACCGTTCACTGTAAGGATGATTTTGGTGACGTCGCACTTGTTGAGCATGTATGAGATTACTGTCATCGATGAGTAACTGCTCATTGGTGATTTGATCCCGCTTGCACCACATTTCCCTAGCCGACAAACCACTGGCCCGAAGACGAGAATTAACGCGCGCAATGACACAGCTTAATAAAACTGGGGTGATGGGGGATCCTGAAGGGTCCTGTCGGAGGATCTCATCCTCGATTTCTTGGATGGCGTGTTCAGCTACAGGGTTTTTATTTATGTTCTTTGTTCGGCCAAGTTCGACATAAACACCATGTTGGTTCAGTAAGCGGTCATTAACTATAGCTTGAAAACAGGGGCCTGGGTCACAGCGTATAATACTACAGCCTTCAACTGGTACCATCTCAATGCACAATTGGAGAAGGGCGTCCCGGATAGTTTGGTGCTTTTCATCCGGAACTAGGGTCGCAGAAGTTTTGGAGGTAACACATTCACGGAGTACGAGAATTTTCTGTTTGGCGCGACATAAAACATCTGCGGCGAAATAGGTTCCAACAGCTTTAGGTGGGGGTTCGCTAGTTTGTTGAATAATAGAAGATGGTATTTTGCGAAGAGCTGCACATTGTTGACAGTTTCTAGATACAGCGTCCACGGCTTGATCTAAATCCAATGCGTAGAAATATCTACGAACGATAAGACGTGTTTGGTAGCTTGAGGGGTGATCCAAACGAATGTGTAACGCAGTGAGTAGACCTAGTATCAGGTCCCTTGGGATGACGATTAAGTCTCGAGTCACAGCTAAAGGGTCAGACTTTTGAACGACTAGGGTTCCGTCTAATGCGATGGAGACGGTATTGAGGTACCGTTTGACGTCATGAATATTGGTAGATTTCTTTGATGGTCGAGTGCCCTGTGCAAGGTGGGCATGCACTCGACGCAGGTCCTTACAATCTTGCTGAGCCTGGCGCCACATGGAGCGATTAACAAATGGCAGCCTGACCGATCCATTCATAATATCTTTCACAGACACGGCACGAACAACAGAGTCCATGGTAACCGATATGAATGAGCACACTTGACAACTCATATCTTCACAATCTGGAGCATTTCGACTTCCAAAATCTGACGGAATGTTGACCTTGCCGGCTAGGTGGCGAATGAAAACTTGATATCGACTGGCAATGGATAGAAATGTGGTCACTCTTGGACTAGTAGAGTATTCACCCCTTTGTAACTTGGAATAAGCCTCAACACAAGGCTTACTGTCGGTAAGAATTTGAGCTACGTGACCAGACTGAATGATATAAGGAGCAAAGTGTTTGATGGATGCCGCAATAGATAAAGCTTCGATCTCACAGGGACTCCATCCATGTTTTCGTTCAGGGAGCTTCGCGCTGTAGAAACCAGCTAATTGTAGTTTGTCGTTTCTAATAAGGTATAATGTGGAGGCCAATCCAAAGCTTCTGACTGCCCCATCTGTGACTATCCATAACTGATCGTTGGGTCTTGGTAAAGTGATAGACTTCGCATCTTTTAAATATGCCTGTGCCAGGTGGAATGAAGCAGTCGTGTCATCCGTCCAGACGATTATATCTTTAGACTGAGCTCCTCCTCCCACTAGGCTATCGAGTGGACTCAAATATTTAGCACACTGCGGAAGTACACGTGAGAGGAACTTGTATGCACCTATAAAGGCTCGCAAGTCTTTAATAGTCTTAGGGATTGCACACGTCGATAGGGTGGCGATTCTGTGAGGGTTTGCAGTTAAAGATCCCTGACACCAGGTCCATCCAAGAATGGTAGTTTTTCTCGGTGCGATGATTGTTTTAGAGGCCTTTAAGTTGAGAGAGGCTGTGTGTAAGGCATTGAGAACAGCCTGCCAGTTCTTTAGGAGTTCTTCAGGAGTATTCCCCCCACAGTACAAATCATCGGCAATTTTGGCGACAAATCCCTGTTGTATCAAATCTCCCAGCACACGGCACATTAACTCTTCTAACGCTGTCTCTGAGCCCGGCATACCCATGGCACACCTAGTATATACCCGGATACCCTTAAATGGGGTAGCGACGCCGCAAAACTTCATAGAATCCGCGGATAAGGGAATTTGGTAAAAGGCATTTGACAAGTCTGTAGCAATTATGTAAGTCCAACTGGCAATTGACCGTAAGGTTGAATCGATATCTGGCATCAGGGATGGTTGTGGTTTAGCATACTTGCCGACTTCGCCAAACGCAGTCACCAGTCTGTATGTACCATTGGGCTTTTTGATCAAAAATGACGGATTTAAGTATTCGACTACCATATCCAGGTCCTCGGGTTTCCGGAAGACTCCGATGCTCTCAAGCTCATCAAATTTGGATTGTAGTTCATCTAGCTTATCTTTAGCATACTGGGGGACACGCCCTTTTCGTTGGGGTGGAAGGACTGGACCCATATTGACTTTTGCGGTGAAGTGACCAAATGCACCGTTATAGCCCTTGGGTGTTGTGCTGAAAACAGAGTCGTATTGTCGTAGTAGGGTGCGAAACTGCTTGTGAACAAGAGGTGACAGTATTTCATCCGGATCAAGCGTAACAGCAGATGAGGGCGGATTGGGCATGGATGTGGTCAGTGTGTGTATGTCATTGGCTGAATTCGGTGATACCAGGGGGTTATACACAGGTAGCACCTGAGAAAAGTGGCTGTTTCTGCGAACGATGATTGGTAAATCAGTAGAGTTAGGTATACGTAACTTTCCGCCTATCGGTCGTAAGACGGACGGAGCAGGCCATAATGCTTCGGTCTGATGGGGAGAGAGATCTAGCCGGGGTTCTACGGCCACTGTGTCGATGTTGTCGAGTTCAGCTGGGACATCTACTTCTATGAATTTACCAGGCCAAATAGTGGTAGCAGTATTCGATCTTAAAACAGAAGCTTGAGTGCGTCGTACCGATGGACTTGACTTTGGAGAAGAGGAACCGTATGGATATATATGGCCACCAATAAGTACGTGTTGCTTGGAAGGTCGCACGGCTACATCGTTGACAGACATGAAAGGGGTTCCTCCAAGTAGTTCCACATCCATAGAGGACACGACTAATGCGGTGAATGATAAGATATGATCGTCTCTTGTCAACTCAAAGCGAGTTTCTCCGACAACGTTTAACAATGTTCGGCCATCAGCCTGAGTAGCGTATTGTGTACTTTTAGTAACAGGAATGCCCAACTGGAGAGCGAGAGGATGACTTATCATATTCGTTTCGGAACCAGAGTCGACGGTTATGCGGATGGCATGGTGGTCGTAGAATGCATCAAGATAGGGAGACTGATCGACTTGGACTCTTCGTGATGAAACCGACAAAGTTGGCGTATCAGCATTATTGGCATCTGAAATGATATCAGTGTTCTCATCATCGTCAGAATCGACGATAACCTGCCTGGCTCGTGACATAAACTTTCTGTCGCTCTCGGGCAAATATGGACATAGACTGAGGTAATGGTCAGTGGAACCTCGGTTGGATTGTAAGCATAGAGGACACATTGTAGGCGATCTTTTTGTAACACGTTGTGGCTTTAAGGTTTGTGGCCTGGGCCTTGGCGGGGGGTTATGCAGTTTGGAGTCTGGGCGAAACGGTGGTCGGGAACCCATACGCATGCAACGAACCTCTTCAGCAGTTTCCACCTCTTCTAAAAGGGATGACAAGGCCATTGATATCTCTGGTTTAAGTGACGCGATAGTACATGTACGTAATTGGATTCCATACCGTTGCTTAACGAGCTTGGGCAAACCGGGGTGGATTAAACGAAGCCATAATACTGTTATCAGATTTTCTAAGGATGGAGACATTTCCTCCTCGGTAACTTGAGTTCCATAGTGTGTAAGACCGCATCCGACAGTTAATAGATTGTCATCAACGAAGGCGATCAGCCTCTGAAATAAGTCTTCTGGTTTTTCATCCATTTCTAGTTTCATATCACAGATGTCAAGGAACTGTGCCCCACTATTCTGAAATCCATAGTGAGCACGGATTGATTGCCAAACAGAGCTTATACTCACAGACTTGTGAATAATGGTGTTGCGGGCTATCACCGGGCAAAAATTGGCGATTTGACCCAACATGAGCTCTAAAAAAACCACCTTTTGTGCTGCAGTCTTCCCACGTTCGTCGGTAAAGCCTCGATTTGGGTTATCCCTGCTTTTCTTAGACCATACAATATCGGGAGCGAAGAATG